GGGTGACTTCTCGCTGTGTGCTCATATGAGGGAGGGGACCCCGTGCTCTGTAGCATCTGTCTCATAAGGGCACTAATCTCATTCACGAGGCTCCACTCCTACGATCTAATAACTGCCCAAAGACTCCACTTCAAATGCAATCACTTTGGGGATTTGGCTTCAACACATGAATGTTGGAAAGACATAACATCTCAGCCTGTAGCAATAACATTTAGTGTGATAATATACTCATTTATTAAAACCCCAAATAAAAATCTTAAACATTATTGGTGAGAAAAGAAATGCAAATTAAATAAATACGTTTTAACTTCAACCAGCACAGATAAACAAAAAAAAAATGATAATGTTTGCAAAGGTAGTTGAAAATATTTTTTTCCTATACTGCCAAAGGAAAAGTAAATCAATAATCATTCAGGGAAACAACTTTAGAATATCCTTTGATTCAGAAGATCTACTTTCAGAAAATTACTTAAACAAGTTCATCAAGGCTGCACATAAAAATTTCTACAAAAGATATTCAGTATGGCTGCAAGATAGTAGACCCAATCTAAATATCCAGCTGCCAAGAATTACATCAGCTACAGTAACTCCATGCAACAGACTTCTATGTATACATTAAAAATAATGTTTGTGAAATATATTTTATTACATGAAAAAGGTTCACCATACATCGTGAAATAAAAATACAGACTACAAAGCTATTAAGGCTGATTTTATGTGAATTTGGAAAGTTCTTCCTTTTAGGTTTCTGCTCAAATATCATATTAATCATGTAATAGGTCATATTTCACACTTCTTCCTGTCTCATTTTCTTTACTTAGCTCTATCTTTTCACATTTCACTTCTCATCAATTGACATACTTATTATTTATCTTTCCCATTTGAATGCTGGCTTTCTAAGAGCAGGGATTTTTGGTGGTGGTGTTGTTGTTCACAGCTATACCCTACTACCTAAAGTTGTTTAGTAAATAATTAATTAATAAAAACACATGTCTATATTTATATACCCAAATATAAACAATGATTATCTCTGGCTAAAGACGCTTTGGGTGATTTTTAGAGGATCTGTTTTTCTATATTTTTCAAACATTTTTTTGCAAGGAATATGTACTACTCTAAGAATCAGAAATAGAAAAAAATGCTTTTTTAAGCCCTCACTTACTTTAAGGCAAAATTTCCCCCTGTATCTTCTGTTTTCTGGTACTGTACCCGATCAGATACCACTCATCTCCATGTAAAATTCCTTATAATATATCAAGCAGTTATTCTTTCTCCTTGATAGCCCCCTCCCCACCATTATCCCACCTCCATTGCCTGAGTGTCTAAAATTCACGTTTTTCACCATCATGATTACGTTCATTAATTGCTCTTCTTTCTGTGATGAAGCTAAAGTCACCAGGCAACGGTTCTCTCATCTTTAAGAGCAAGCTAAAAAAGGTGGAGCAATTTAGTTTTTTTATGTTAATCATTTTTTAGAATTTTTACTTATTTATTATAGAGATGCGGGGTACAATTCAGGGTTAGGAATATAAACATTGATCATGCAGGTACCCTTGTTGATGAGGCATGCCCCTCCCTCCCCTAGCAGTTTCCCTCAACTGCCAGTCCCACCTCCCCTCCCGACAGTTTCCTTCTACTGCCACTCACTTTCTTATAGCATTATAATTGTTCAAGGTCATCTTATGAGTGAGAACATATGGAACTCAGTTCTTTGTTTCTGTGATAAATCACTGAGTGTGTCTAGATTTCATGTTTAAAATTCATGTTTTTCACCATCATGATTGTGTTCATTGATTGCTCTTCTTTCTACGATGAAGTTAAAGCCACCAGGCAACGGTTCTCTCATCTTTAAGAGCAAGCTAAAAAAGGTGGAGCAATTTAGTTTTTTGTTTTTTTAACGTCAAACAAGAGTAAGCTGCTTTGTGGTGCTGTGCACTCACTTTACTCTATCCTCTGTGTATATACATACATAGGTACTTGCTAACTGGTTCACCTTCAACTTTCTTTTAAGTTGAAATTATTTATCTCTTTATAAAAGATCAGATGTGGAGTCTAGCATTTAGGGCTTCTTAGGAAAGCATTTGTTTACTTTATTCATTTTTAAATGCTTCTAATCCTCTGTGTGTAAAACAACCTTTAAAAGCATCTAGAAATGAGTCAATTAAGGCATGGAGTTCATTAGTTTCTATTTGTATTCTGTATCATGGTTAAGAATAAATGGGATAATCTGTTACTGAAATAGAATTACAGTGAAATTTATAAAAATTTAAAAAAGCATTATCATTTAGTTTCTCTCTATGCATATATAAATAGAAATACTATTTCATGTTTTCAAATAATGTGCCTGCCTTATGTTTACATTTCTCTTCTAAGTACTTAGCATCAATTAAATCGGATCACCATAAGTTAATTTCTTCCTGGATTCAAAACATCTTTTCTAATGAGGGAGATATGGCTAGAGGTGTGAGACAGAAAGTATCCTTTCTTGTATCAACTTATATCTCTGTAGATCTTTCCTCTGAGTTCTGTATACATATATCCACCTGCATGCTTGGCATATTTTCTTGGTTGTCTCTGGAATCACATACACACAGACCCCAAACTGAATCCATAGTTTCCACTCCAAGCCACTTGCTTCCTCCCCTTGAGTTTAAGACAAATTGAGAAACAAGATAAAGAAAGGACAGGTGGAAACCAAATATGGTTGATCCACATTCTCAGGAATCCAGGTCTCCAGGGTTCTCTAGTGCCTTCCTATAGTGCCGTATGTGTTCCACTCAGTTGTCTGAAAGAAGACAGCATGGGGAATCTTATGTCTCTAGTGTGTCTACCAAGAAGTGAAAAACATCATTTCTGTTCATGTTTTATTGACCAAAGTAAGTCACATGGTTGTGTCTAATGCCAGGAAGTCATCTTCCCAGAAGGAAAAATGAAGGCGAGATCTTGGTGATCAGTAGAATGGCTTCAACAAGCAGCAACCTAGACAATATCCTTCTCTTTATTGACTTGGTGCAATGTGCTTTCATTATCCCCACACCTGTCATCTCGCTCTGTATTCTCCTCCCGGCTGAGGCCTAGGAGGTGAAGTATTTGAAAATAAAGTGGACCCAAGGAGATTCTTCACCTGGTTTTACCCTTTTTCAATCATTCTCTCATTCCTACCACAGCCCTGGAATAGTTTTTTTCCCCTTCTTTATGGGGCTGTAACTTCTCTGATTTCATGGACTATATTTTTGCCTGAATAAAGTTCTTCTTATCTATGATTTATGCTCCAGTCCATTCTCCATGCCTCATATTTTTTTAAAAAAATTAGGATTAAGAAAATCACTTTCTCTCTTAAGTAAACCTAGCTTTCAAGGCTATGACTTTAAATATACTTAGAAAGAAATCTCATTTCAAACCCAAATTAGGGTAGTTATCCCTTTGTGCTAGGCAAGAACTGATTTCCTAAAGAAAATAAATATTATTGTTTTAATATATGAGAAGTTACAGGACAATAGAGTTTAGAGGAAATTGAGAAGACATCATATAATATTTTTTAACATTCCTTCTGCTGCACCTGTGTTTCCTGCAGAGCTACCAGATGCATGAAGGTGGGAACCAAATTGTTTGGCATGACATTGCTAAGCCAAAATATTATTTGGAAAAAATGCAGTGGGTCACTAAATCATTATTTACATGAGTATGTTAGTGATTTTGGATAAAATAAGGAAGAAAACATTCGAACTTTCAATATTATCTAAGATTTTTAAGTTATTCTAAAAAAAATAAAAGACTGACCAAGTGCCTTGGGCAAGTAAGGAACTCGCTGTGGTGAAGAAAAAGTTGAGATGCACAGAAGCCCAACTGGGACTCTAGGGACAAGCTCAGGGGAGAGAGACTCTTTTGAGAGAGCGATTCACTGGACATCTTCCCACCGACATTGGAAGATTGCCCTAGATTTCTTGAGAGGGAAGGGGTGGGGGGAAAAGCCGCTTGCCTAGCAGTGTGCGTCTGGAGAGATGCACTCCCCCTGCACCATCCATGCAGGGGTGGCTCAGGGAGGCTTTGCCAGCTTAAGGGCCACCAGGTAGTGTAGCAGAGCCAATAGCTTGGATGGAGAACGGTCATGACAGGGACAACCATAGCGTCCCTGCAGCACTTTCGAGGCTAAGAATTTGGTCTCACTGATCTTGATTCAAAATCCACAAGGGACTACAACAGATATTAAGAGGAGCTTGGAGTCCCCCTGTGATGAGTTCAAGGGCCAGAGATCCTCAGGATTACGACCCACACTTGGAATCGTCCCCAAGACTTGAAAGACCTCCGCAAGAAAGGCTCGCGTGTTGAGGCTAATCACTGCCTCCTGGCAAGTCTTCTCTCAGACACTGGACGCTTCAGATAAACAGCTAGGTCTCTTTGTAAGAGGGAAATCTTATAAAACGTTTTCAGGGACTGTCCTGAGAAAGGGTTCTATGACTGCTCACTGAAACTGAGAATAAATTTCCTAGGATTTATCTCTTAGCCACCAGAGGTAGTCTACATGTAAACACTTTAATGACATTGTCTAAAATTGACATGAGTTAAGTTTCAACTTTCGGTCTGTGATTGCATGAGAGATTTCATCTAAATCCTCCAATATCCAGTTCTCTGCTGTGCTGTCATTGGTGAAAACTGTCCCGTAATTGAATTTGAAAGGTTTTTTTTTTTTGTCTAAATGGTCATGGGCCTTAGTATTAAAAAAAATTTTCAAATGGTTCCAATCATTAAGGTAAAATCTCCCACTGTTTTCCAGAAGCCTATACTGGCATATTTATTTTATGTTTCTCTATGGAGAAATAAGCCTTATTTTATGTATGCTAATTTTCTATTTGTAGCGTTATTAATATAAATGACAATTATGTAAAATCATCATATAAAAAGTGATTGCATTCAATAACTTTCTAATCTACAAATTGTCATCTCTTTGTTATTGTTGTTGTTGTTGTTTTTGTGTGTGTGTCATCTCTTTAAAATAACAAACAAGCACTAGAAAATGAAAAGTATTGCAGAGCATGAGTTTCTGAAGGATGATCAAGTAAGACAAATAACTGTAGAGGTGAGTATAAAACAATTTATTTGGAGTAGAGTTGCCAGATTTAGCAAGAAAAATATAGGATATCCAGCTAATTTTGCACGTTGCAAATGTATATGGAGCCTGGCTAGTGGTGGTGCCCCTGATAAGTTTTCTAAGTTCACCTACAAAGGCCAGGGCTGACTCAGAAAAAAATCCACCTAGAAAAATTATTCCTTGTTTATCTTAAAATCCAATTTAACTGAGTGTCTTGTATTTTATCTAGTAACTTTAATTTGGTGAAGCTAGCTGCTTGACATGATGCTAAAAATGCTCTCGTCATTTTTCATCCTTTATTATCCTTGACATTGGGCTTGTTTATAGTGAGGCATTGCTATTATGATCATTTTGCATAATGCTGACAGGTGTATGGATTGGAGGAGAGGATTTGTTGTGAAGTGTCTTGGTGTGGTGCAGCTCAGGATTTTGCCAGTGAACCACGTTGGAAGAAATGCCCAGCGTCTTGCAGAGTTCCCTCCCCAAACACAGCTCTTCACTCCGGCGCACAGTGAGAGAGAAGAGTCATCATGGAGGTGTATCGACTTACTTCTACTTACATCCTGGAAATTCAGAGCTTTGCAACTTGACAGTAGCCGGGGCTTGTACTTGAGGACCAGAATAAATGTTCTCACTTCATCAGTAGGCTCAGGGAATTTAGATCAATTTAACCATCCCTCTCATGTATCTGGTAAAGACAGGAATAAACTGCGAAGCCTCTTGAATTCTTGTTTTGTTTTGTTTTTTTTTTGAGTTGGAGTCTCACTCGGTCGCCCAGACTGGACTCGGTCGCCCAGACTGGTCAACCTGCTGGGCTCCAGCGATCCTTCCGCCTCAGCCTTCCGAGTAGCCGGAATTACAGGCATGCGCTACCACACCCAGCTGATTTTTAGATTTATTGTAGAGATGAGGTCTTGCTGCCCAGGCGGGTCTCGAACCTGCCGGCTCAGGCAATCCACTCACCTCAGCCTCCCAAAGGCACAGAATTACAGGCTGAGCCACCGAGCCTGGACTCTTGAATTCTTAAAGGGCAGAGATCACCATTCAGGGAAGGTGCTGCCTTCATTTGGTTTGATTATTTGTGGTGATAAAAACCATATGTATTCATCTCTTAGTCTGCTGTAGGCACGGGATAAATGAATCAGAGGCATTATTTCCTTATTTTCTCAGCATTCTCATCAGGGAGGTATTAGCATCTTCATTTTGTAAATAAAGGCAAATCATTCATCCCTGGGTCATGCAACTGTCAAACTCAAAGCTGGATTTCAAACCATGTTCGAATATTAAAACTTGTATCTTAACCACCACATTGTACTTCTCGCCATATTTGCTTGTGTGTTGAGTTTATCACAAAGCATGAGATGGCTGCCAGCAAAGCTTTCACAATAAATCCCTTTACCTCCAAGTTACAGCCCCTTTCCCAAGACGCCAGGCGTTTGAAGGTGTGCTCACTCAGCGCTCAGACGTATTCCTCTAAGGCACTAGGAAAAATTAAACAGAACAGATTTTTTTTTTTTTTTTGCCTGAAATGAGTCACATTTCCTGTCGATTGATGGGTCTAGCAGTGTGTCCCTCTTGGTAACCAAATTACTATTATTTGATATCTTCCCCTCAAGGCCAAATTTCTAAAGAAGATTACAGGCCCAGGTGGCTCACTGCTTGGCAGAGGTGCTGAAGATGATTTGATATTAATCACACTCCAGGAAGAATAATACACATCTTACATAAAAATCGCAAATCTAAGATCAGGAGTTGAGGGGAAGGGGAAGTAATGAGAGCATAGCTGAAGAAGACATTGAGAAGTGACCAAAGTAATTTGGTCACTTTTGGGTTTCAACAGCTACTGAGATTAACCTATGGAATAGTCTCTCTTTCTCCAAGAAACTAAGGCAGAAATGCAAATCATCTTTTTTCCCCCAGCATCCTCAGAAGAATAGTCTAGATTAGAAAACTGAGACACAAGGGAATTCATTTGATCTAAAGTATTTGTTTCCTTTTTTTTTTTTTTTTTTGAGTCGGAGTCTCATTCTGTTCCCCAGGCTGGAGTACAGTGGCCGCTCCCGGCCACCGCAGCCTCGACCTGCTGGGCTCCGGCGAGCCTTCCGCCTCAGCCTTCCAAGTAGCTGGAACTACTGGCGCGTGCTACCACACCTGGCTAATTTTTTGATTTATTGTAGAGATGAGGTCTCACCAAGTTGCACAGGCAGGACTCGAACCCGCAAGCTCAGGCAATCCACTCACCTCGGCCTCCCAAAGAGCAGGATTACAGGCTGAGCCACCGAGCCCGGCTAAGTATTTGTTTTCTTTTGTGGGAATGCTATTGCCTTTAAGTCAGGAAAATAAAGATGAAAAAAGAAACACAATGAAAGCACAATTTGTGCTATTTTTTATTCTATGTTACTGTTGACATTTTGTCTACCCTGGGCATCATTATGCCAAAAAAGAGGCTCTGACATTAACTTTTGGCAAGATATGTTTCATGTTTTTGATTGTTGCATTAAATGTGACCCACTGGCCGAAAGTCTTGATGTATCTCTGCTGCTTTGGCTACAATTACTATGACTGGTTTAACCAGTGAAGTACTTTATTGACATCATGATCTCACATTCCTTTGAAGAAGTTTATCAGGTAAATCAGTGTTATTTTTAGTTATTCTGTAAATGAAAGCTACTTCTATTAATAAACTTTCAAAATAGAGTCCAACATTCGTTAAAGATAATACATACCATGTTGAAACAGCATAAAATCAAGAGTCAGAAAATTTTTTTTAGAGTCTAAACTCTGCTATTACCTATCTGTACAACCTTGGGACTTACTGACCCTGCAAAATGAGAAAGCTGGATTAGAAACCTTAGCATCCCATCCATACGTAACATCGGGTGGCACTTATACAAGGGATTACCATTTGTCTAATTCCATTCAGCCCACAATGAGCACTTGCTGAATGCCAGGCACCAACACGTTCTGCTCCTAGGGGAGCAAATGCTGCCAGAGCGGCAGGGTCTACCAGGCTTCCGGCTCAGGAAATGACTAAGGCCTCTAGCCCACTGTTTGCACTGTTGTTTTGGCAGCCTTCCTCCGTCGTTTTAAAAGTGCTGACCTCTAAACCGAACTTATAAGAGCTCGTACAAAAAGAGCTTGAAAACTTTGCAGGAGCCTCTTGACAATTCAAGTCACTGAGATGTCTGAACATGGAGGTTGTGCCTTAAATATGCACATGGCAGGAGTTCAGTTAATACTGAATGGATACAAATACTGATTTTCTCTGGGATAATAGTTTCACTTTTGACTAAATTTCCAAAGATGGAAGCATCTTCTTCATGTTTGGCAATATTATCCATATATTATAAAAATATGAGAAACAGTAATATTAATATGCTATGTTTATATAATTTTTTATGGCTTTGACCTCTCATTTACATTGTCTTATTTCTTTCCCACTGAAACTGGGTGGAACTGGCAAGGTAATCATTATATTCTTTAATTTTTTTTCAGGAAAAAATCAAGGTGCTTAGTGTCTAAATTAGCTGCCCAAGGGTCTGCAACACTATGTGGCAAGAGAGTACAAAACACACTTTTTTTTTTTTGAGTTAGGATCTTACTCTGTCGCCCAGACTGGAGTGCAGTGGCATGCTTCCGGCCACCACAGTCTTGACCTGCTGGGCTCCAGCGATCCTTCCGCATAGCCGGAACTACAGGCACGCGCTACCACGCCCGGCTGATTTTTTGATTTATTGTAGAGATGAGGTCTCACCAAGTTGCCCAGGCAAGTCTCGACCCCGCAGGCTCAGGCAATCCGCTCACCTTGGCCTCCCAAAGCGCTGGGATTACAGGCTGAGCCACTGAGTCCGGCTAAAACACACTTATTATTATTTTCTGCCACACCATTATGCCCTTAACAAAATTTCAGTCTGTTACTAAATGAGAGAATGAACCCAAAAGGCAAGGAACAGTGGGAGTGCACCATAAACTTTGTTTTTCCCTCTTTCCTCTCTTGCTTCTCATGTGGGAAGGCAGGAAAGTTGAGTAACATGATTTGCTTTTTCCCCCTTATTTTTTATTTTAAAGGTGTGGGATACAATTCAGGGTTAGGTACATAAGTGATCATCGTACAGATAAAGTTTGGGAGGCTTTATCGATGTTATCCAACCCCTAGCAGTATCCCACTACTGCCAATCCCTTTCTTACAGTATTATGGTAAATGTTCATTGACTGAGTGCTGACCCACAGCTAGGTACTATGCTGAGGCTGGAGATACAAATGCAGTAAAATACAATCCTTGCCTTCCAGTTGCTTATTCTACAGTACAGAAGACAGACTGGTAAACAGGACATACTTCCAAAAATGTGATACCTACCAGAAGGTCTTCCTGAGAAGTGAAGAGATATCAACCCATTCTTAAGTGAGTCTCAAAGACTAACCAAGGAAGTAACTAGCCAAGCAGAAACTCAGCTTTGGCAAGGCTGGGGTGGTTTAAAATATGCCCACAATTTTTTTCAACAGTCCCTCAATAAGCAGAGCTTAATTTCTCTCCCTTGAGTGTAGGCTGGACTTAATAAATAGAATATGGCCAAAATGATAGCATTCTACTTCCAAGACTCATTCAAAACTAGTTCATAAAAGACATGTGGTTTCTGCTTTTCTCTCTTGGGTCACTTATTTTGGAGGAAGTCAGCCATCCATCATCTTGTCAGAACATTCACAGCCATGTGGCAAGGTCTACTTGATAAGGATCTGAGGTCTTTGACAATGGTTGTCAAGAAACGAAGGCCTGCTGCCCACAGCCATAGGCATGAGCCATGTTGGAAGTGAATTCTCCATCTCCAGGTGAGCCTTTGGATGACAGCAGCTCTGGCCAACGTCTTGATTTTAACCTCATGAGATACCTCAAGCCAGATCGTCCAGTAAAGCTGGTTTGAGATTCTTGAACCATAGAAATTGTGAGATAATAAATATTTGTTGCTTCAAGCTGCTAAGTTGGTTAACTTGTTATTCAGCAATAGATAGCTAATACATGGAGAATGGGAGAGGAGGTTGAGAAAATGTTCTAAGCAGAGGGCAGAGCAGGCACAGAGTTTTGGAAGGGGGCACAGTGTACTTGAGGGCATTGGAAGCAGATAAGTGCCTGGACACTGGGTTTGAAGGGGATGAAGAGGGTGGAGTGAGGTAAGCAGATCATGAGAGTTCTTATAAGTATGAAAAGGAGTTGTTCCTGTATTTTTAACATTTACAAAAGAGAAAACTCTTGAGGGGAGACTATAATTGCGGTATGTTATATATTCTTCCCTTTTCGGTAATAGCATACTCTCTCTTTGGCTAAAACTCTTAATTAAGTGCACAGTAGTTGTATACTAACTCAAAAGATTGGAAGCCACGAGTACCATGGACCCTGGACACAGGAGCTTAAAGGCCAGTATAGCATATAGTTCTCTCATCAGGGGGAGGAGTGGTGGTAGCTGGTGGCTTCATTTGGGAAACTCCTTTGAAGCCTTGCACATTCCGTCTCCCACAGAAGCTTTGCACTCAAGGGAGGGCAGGGGAGCATGGGCTTGATCAGCTTCAGTTATCTTGGAGGCACTCAAGAGTTAGAAATGAAGTGGCATTCCTTCTGGTCAGCTACTGTGTGAAGTGCCCAGGGGAGAGTAGTCGTCAGATTGCTCTGCCTTTATGTGATTTTACCATCATGGCAAAAGTGGGCAGTGCTATAATAAGTTCAAAATAATGG